TCTTCTTCCTCATCTGTAAAGAGGGGTAGGTAGGTAAATAGTTGTGCTCTTCATTTATGTCCCAGACATACAGCTCAAGGTCTTTGATTTGCAAATTACTGGTCATTGTCTAGAATATGGAAACTGTTTAGCTCTCTGTCTTCTACATCTACACTGAACGACTGCCTTTCAGTTTTCATTATTCCCACCAATGGACTTTACTACCACTGACTTTTTTTGCAATGATTTGTCTGAGTCCAAGGATTACACACATGCACACACCTCATCCTTTTAACTAGAACAGCTATAGTCCATAGGATCTCAAGGTGAACTTCCATAGAAGACTCTTGCCTTCTGTTTCTCAGGGCTTTATTTTATCATTCAAGAGAAAAGTCCGTAGCTACAGATGTACTAAAAGTTGTTTTCATCTAGCTTTTTTTTCTTCCATTCCTTCAGATTCTCTCAGGGTTTTAATAAATATTATGCATCACCAGATAACCAGTATTTAAAGGCTGGGACAAAAAAGTAGTATTTCTACTTTAAGGCTTGGGGTACAGTAGCTATTTAAATTTCTATAGGTTCCTTTGTTTTTCCATATAATATGGAGGAAATAATGAAACTAAAGCAATATTAAATAAGAAAACATATGCAAAATATAAGCATGCTAATTTTTTCCATTAGTCCTAGATACTTTCAATAATATTCTAATTAGATGTAATGTTCTACATTTCCTCTTCTTGACATTGACTCAATAAAATTCTTACTAGATTATCAACAATAGGAAATAACAGATTTGGTGATAGATGAGTAGGAATAGGGGCTAAGTATTTGGAGTTAATACTGTCAATGGTTATTTTAACTAAATTTCATCTCTGTATTGTAAGTAAGACTCCTAGAGACAAGAAATGAGTATTAGGTATGCACCAGTTTTCAGAGGAAACTCTTCTATTTTTCTATAAAATTTGCCAGTACTACTTAAAAGTGTGTTTTAAGATCTTCCTATTAATTTTGTCTGCTGTTCAACATTGCAACTGAGAGAACAATCACAATTAATGGGCCTGCTTTCCACAGAAGTGCTAATTTTATGAATGTCACAGGTGCTCAAGAAATTGATTATTGTGTCAAGAGTCTTTGTTGGAAGTGGGAACAGAAAAATAATGATCTTCTGCTGTCAGGAGTTCAGGATGCTCTGTGGCATCCAGCCTAGAGATATAAGAGACCCCTAAACCGTTTGCCTCTAAGGTGTACACTTCTGCCAACCCATGTTCAACCAGCACAGACACATAATGAAGTCCAGAAAACAGTGCCTTTGGCATGTGTATTCCTCCTTGATAGCACTGGTCACAGATGCATAAAAGGTTTTCCATACCCTCTGTCTCTGAGGTACACATCCTCAACCTTCCTGTACATGGTCCTAATAGGTAAGCAGTCTTTTCTCATCTTACCTCTCATGTATCCTTCCTTTTACCTATAGCATCAGGCAGAAACAGGTAAGAAAGTTACAGTCTCCTGCCTCTGGGGCATACTCACAAAGCTCAGTGAATCCAAGCAAGGGACAGACTATTACAGCCATAGGAGTGGGAACCACTTCCCTTCCCTAAGTGTGTTCTTCTGCCCTGAGCACCACAGAAGCCAGAGGACATGATAAATCTATGGTTGTGACACACATACACAACACTCTTTAAACACCCTGGTTTGTGAATTTAGAGGTCACAGGATCCCTAGCATTGATTCACTCTCCCATAATACCTTATGAAGCCAGGCTCTTAAGGTTAGCAGACATGTGAAACTGCTGCTCCTGGTATAACCCATTGATACACTGCACTGACTTTGGTTTATGAAGTTAGAGCCTGTGATCCTGTTATCAACAAAGCCATGATCACTTTCACCTACGCCACCCATGGTCAATGCCAAGTTCCTCTACAACTGGACTTTAAGCAACACTGAGCCTGGTCAAGACTTGTGAAGCAGAGGTGATGCTAACACCACACACTCACTCAACTCAGCTGTGATGAGAAGTCACAGCTCACACCAGATTGGCAAATCCCAGTGTACAAACACCAGGGCCTAGAAGAGCCAAGACAAAATATCTCCTCCAAAAATTAACAGTCACATAGCGATGGCTGCCAGTGACGGTGACTTATACAAAATTCTAGGCAAAATTTAAAAGAACAATCCTAATAAATATGTTCAAAATTTCAAAATGGACACAAACACACTCATGAATACATTGAATGAGGATACAAATAATATTTGGAGTCAACTCCAAGAAAACACATTCAGTTGAATGAATTAAGAAAATCAGATCAGTATTGAAAACAGAATTCTCCAAATGCCTTGAAATACTGAATAAAACTCAAACTGAAATGATATCAGAAATGAAAAATTCAGAAATCTAAGAAAACCCTCAGTGGAAATCTTCAACAATGAATGGAACTAATAGTGGGCAGAATTACAGAGCTTGAGGATCATACAGAGGAATTAGATCATTCAGTTGAAGTCAATGACTTTTTAAAAAAAATATGAATGAAATGTAAAAGATAAGTAGGGCACTATGAGAGACCAAATTTATTAATTATAGACATAAAAGAAGATGAGTCCTATATCAGAAAGCATAGATAGTATCTTAAATAATATCACAGAAGAAAATATCCCAGTATCTGAAAAGGAATACCCACTGTGGTATAAGAGGCATAGCAAACATCAAATGGACAGGACTAGAAGATAAACATCCTATGCCATATTATTGTTAGACCACTATACAGAACAAATAAAAGCTGCAGAAAACTTCAAGAGAGAAGGCTTATGTCATACATAAAGATGGCTGAAGCACAATAACAGCTTCTCAAAAGAAATATTAAAAGCTAGAAGCACTTGGGAGCAGTGAGGAGTGGGTGATTGTCCCACAGCATGAGTAGGCAGTAGTCAGGGGACAACTTTGAGTGTTAATTGTGACCTTCCACCTTATATGGGACAGGGTGTCTTTGTTTTTCATGCTTTATACACCAGACTAGTAGGACTGAGCATCTCCAGACTGTCTCCATTGCCTATCTCTTATCTCAGCATGCAAGCACAGGATTACAGACAGAAAATACTATACCCAAGTTTGAGTTCTGGGAATTTGAATGTAGGCCCCCATTCTCACATGGTAAATATATTAGTTTCTGATCCATTTATTACTTTTTTATTCCTATGCAATCCACAAAAACTCTTCTTATTTTTTATCACTTGATATCATCCAGTATGTGTCTAAACTTTATACCAAGTACATAACAAAATTAATTTTACTAGCTTGCAGTGCCTCATAAATTGTTCTCCTATTTATGTTTCTCATCAATCTATAAGTGAAAATGTTTCACTAACATTTTTAGCTTTATCCATAAGTATTTTGGTACCATAGTTGATCTTTCCTTCGTATATATTGATAATACACCCTTCACTTTTTAGGAATTTGGGTTTTCTTGGGTGCTTTCTGGCCAAAGAACTAGGTTTCGCTGCAACCAAACATTGGTTTTAGTTTACATTTATTGTCTTTAGTCAATACTTAAAATTTTTCTAGAAAGGGAGCAGTAGTCTTGAAGGGTACAGGTGTATCTTCTCCAACAACTGTCTTAGTGCCTCAGCCAGACCTATACCTAAGCCCTTTTAAGTCCCTATTACTTGCAGTGCATGGCTTGGTGCAACTCTTCTTGGTACCCTTTGATGAAGTAATCATACAGGGCCAATAGAGCTCACACAATACATTCCTGTAAGATGCCAGCACCCTACCCCCATGCTTCAGGGCTCTTATTACGAAAAACAAAGGGTTACTTGAACACAGGTACTGCAATTCCATGAGAGGAGACCTGACAGATGGCTACAAAGGCACTAAAGGTTAGCTACTGCATGGATTTTATGGGGCAAACAGTGACTTGTTTCTCAAGTAGGACTAGATAGCTTGGCAAGCAAGATTTCATCACACTACTCATAATAATGTCCAACTTAAACTGCATATGTCATTTCTGACCACTTCCACTCAGTGTGTTCAGATCACAACTATTGTGGATAATGAAAATCAGAAGTAAGATGCAAATAGGGTGTCGGGTGACGACTGTATGATGTGTGGAAAACACTTAACTCATTGTGTAACCCCTGAGAAGGGTTCAACTGATGGCTATTACTGTTACCACTATCATCACTATTACCATAGGATAGTCACATGTTTATGCAAAATAAAAGATCAGAGGCAAATTTGTTTTCTCGTGAGAAATTGTTTACATTGTAATATTTTTGGAATAAAAATACTTTATGCAAAATAATAGAGGAGAGGAATTCAAAACGCTGAAATTTAGAGTGGTTTCCTTCTGCCATACAAATTAAATGTTTACATTAAAATAGTTTCAGAATAAAAATGTGTTTTAATTTTTTTTCCAGAACACCATCTATTGGTTTTAATTGAAGTTAAACTAGCCTTCTTTACAAATTATTCCCATCCAAATAGTCTGGTACTGGAATGTTTTTCTGCAGGTGCATTTGAGAGCATCAATTAAACATTAATAAACATGAGGTGGTACTTATTTGTAAGTCGATAGCTCCTCAGAGGATGAGAGGGCATGACACTCCTCTCTGTCACCAGAGGACCATGACCAAGTTAGCAGCTCAATACCTTCTGCCATGTCCAAACAATCATTCAACATTCAGAGTTTTCTGTTTTCCAAATTTTAAAGAAACCCCATGCTTCAGTTATTTTGATATTGTTTATCCCTATTCCTTAAAGAAATCGGCTTTAGCATCAGCATCTGATACTGGAAGATAAATCAGAAGAAGAAGAAGAAAAAAGTAACAACAACTTAGTCTTAGCTGGAGCTAAGTCCTTTGTACACATGCTTTCCTAAGCTCTCAGATATCTCCCTGATAGGAGGTTTAATTCTTTTTCAGTAGAACTGCAGAAGGAATAAAGAAAACAGTACATTTCCTCTGACAGCAGGCAACTGGGTTTTCTTTCTCTAGGAAAAGTTCAATTTAAGATGCATACTACAGACCTGAGGCCATACAGGACCGTGCCGTCAGGATGCAAGCGTATCATACGATTTTTGACAGTCACTCCATGGACAAAGGACTTCTTATCATTCAGGAAGTAGGTGTCCGGCACCCAGAGCTGGTCTGCCACTCGATTGTCCAAAGTCAAGTTCAAAGGTATTACATTGTAGGACAGCCTCTTGTCTCTCCAGGCTTGCTGAAAATACATGGTCAAGGTATAGTCCTGTGAACATGAGAAGAAATATAGTTACTTTGTATCAGTACAGACTAGGGAAATGTATTAAACGATTTAACTCATTTTTGTTTTTATTTATTTGTTTATTTATTTATT